AACATCGTTTGGCCTTCCGCCGTCAGGCGCCCTGTCTTCTGCAAGTGGTCGAAAAGGGCCTTGGCGGCAGTCACGAACAGGTCCGGCACCTTCAAATCCTCCTTCCAGGAGGGAGTGATCTACGAAGGACCATGCCAAAAAGCCTGCGCCAAAAACCGAAAGTACAGTTGCTGGTCCGCTGCAGTGCTCAGCGAATTCTGAAATCTATCCAGGAGCCGTAGGATCATATCCATCAGAGTGATCATCTGGTACATAGTTCTTCTTGCGCCCCAATGCCGACACTGCCATCTTTCATAGCCTTGAGACAGGGTCATTTCCTTTTAATCTTCAATGCTCAGCATCCCTTTCATCGCCTTCTCCTTGTTCCCGAACAGGCCCTTCATGGACTTCAAGCCTCTCATCATTCTCTTGGCTTCATTTCATGTCTCATCTTTCTTCTGGTGAGCTTCCATATTTCTTCGGACTTCTTCTTGAGGATCTTTTGGCTTTCGGGCTTCGCTGAGATCTTCAAACTCTTTGTCGTGGCCATCCTCAGGTTCTTGAAGCTGACTGAGTTCTCGCTTGATCACCTGGGGATCTGACTCATCCAAAGCGGCCCGACGAAGATTTGGTGCTGCCAAAAGAAGGCATCGACCTCGCCAAGACACATAATATCTTTGATGGTACTTTTGGATTTTGGAGGATAATGACAGCTGGACCCCTCCAACGTCCTGCATCCTTCCGGTATCTGGCCTTGCGGACCTGGGGAATGAAGAAGTAGACCACCTCATCCGGGAGATAGACTGTCTCATGGCTTGGCGGTCTTCTTTGCAAGGCTCTCCTCAGCTTCTGTTGTACATCATCTCTCAAAAGAATCTGTCGAGCAGCATGTCGGACTGGACTGCCTCTGGTGAGTTCGGCCTCAGTGTCCAAGGCCTGTGCCTGAGCGACTTGATCAAAGCCCTCATCAGCCAAGAGCTCCGGGTATGAGATGCTTTTACCGAACACCCCCATGCCTTTCAGCCAAGGTGTGTCGCCATCTAACATGAGCTGCCGTTGTGGTCGAGAAGATGCCATAGGACTCCAACATGAGGATCGGTCCGCCAAGAAGCCCGACCCAATGCTTGAGAAATTTCTTGGTGATGTATCCTGGCTTGCGGGTCTTCACCAGGACTGCTCGATGGTAGTTGGTTGCGGCATCCACCATCGACAAGGCGGCAAAAGTCTCGCCCTTCACATTTTGAGCATACTTGAGGTCCACACGCACCTCCACATCTTGAGCACATGTTGGACATTCATAGTTCTTGGCCAACTCCAGCCTCTCCTTTGAGGCACCTCCCAACTTCGACATCCGATGAAAGGTCGAGTTGCTCGGATGTCCCGAAGGCAGGCGCATCTTGCGTATAGGACGTCATGTTGCGATGGTGCCTGTTCTTCTTGTCCACCTCCTCGGCGGCTCATAGGTTCTCCATTCTTCCGCACCATCTCGTCTCTTTCCATTTTATCATCGAGCATCCTCTCGGGGTCATCTTCATTCACGGCCTCTTCTTCTTGCATGAAGCGCTCCTCCGGCACGTCAACCTCAGACAAAGTCCAGCAACACTGGGGCGTCCAGTGCTCCAAGAATTCTTCTGTCGCCATGACCACTCGGTTGGCAAACTGCTTGGTGTAGCCACCGGCAAATGAAGCAACTGAGTGAGAGCGGCCTCCTTGTTGATAGCAAAGCACGCGGTTCTTGATATTGGCAGGTCGTAGCACACCTGTTGACGATGTGTGGAAGTGGTTAATGAGTGCCTGGATGCTTGGGACAATGAGAGCACATGTCAGTCCTCTTCTCTTGAACGCTTCCGGCCTTGATCATAGGCTCTCGCCAAGCATGGGACGGCCATGGGTTTTCTCCAAGATGAAGAGGTCCTCTTTGCTGATGCAGCTTCACCACATCATGAATGAATGCAAAGAAGTGTTCACGCGCTGTCGTTCTTAAAGTTGGTTCCACCTCTCAACCGTCGGTTTTCCCAGAGAATTGCAACAGTGACCACACAGCACACGGCCAAGCGATCATCAAAAGATCAGGCTCTCCTCGTAGGTAGTACTGGGCCGCTTCATGGAGAGTCCTTCGGTCATGTAGGTCCCATCGAGGAAGGGTGAGGGGCTCCAGGCCTTGCCATCCTCGATCACAAGCTGCATAGGTGATGGAAAGTCCATGTGAAGATTTCCAACACCTTGGCATGGCTTCCTTGGAGGAGGAGACTTGGGTGCACGTGGGATCTCTGCCTTCTTTGGGCTGTTCCACCTATAGCTTTCATAGATCTCCTTGGTGTCACTTCCCCCTTGTCATAATTGCCATCTTTCCCACCCAACTCCAGAGCACCTCATTCTCTTCCGGCACTTCAACTTCCGACCCTGAAGAGAGCTCATCCATGGGTCCCGTCGTTCCGAACTCATGTGACGTCGTGGAGACATCGGAGGCTGACTCCTGTGACAAAGAAGCGCGCCTCATACAAAGCCGACGGAACTCATTGAATCGTTTCTTGTATACTGCATTAGGCAACTCCGAGGTTGGCAGTTGCAGTGTTGTCCGCTCTCGCCCCCGGCGCAACAGCGGTGGAAACGCGTTCATGGTCTGGTCGGGGCGCAGGATCAGTGGACGCACGGCCCCGTTCATAACTGTGATGACGATGCTCCTCATCCCTCGTCACGCCAATGATTAGATGGTTCAGCACTGAATCCCAACTGCCTCCAAAGGTGCTTCTGCCGTCCTTCTGGACCATCTCCTCGATGGTCATCTGGTCCAAGACATCTCGAGCCTCCTTCTGGCAAGACAAACAGATCAACATGGCGAGTTCAGGGTCAGCCAACTGGTACAGCTGTTGCTGTGCCCGCACCACTCGTCTCCAGGTGCACTATTTGCTGCGCTCGCCATAGAAGGTCTCGATCTCCTTCTTCTGCCTTGGCCTGGATCAGATCGCGGGCCTGAAGGAGAGGGAGTCCTGCCGTGTTGGTGGCACCGGATCAGGAGCCGGCCATGTCTCTTGCCGAGGTGGTTCCTTGCGAGGTCGTTGTTGCTGAGAAGGTCCTTGGACTTTACCTGGATGCCGTTGCGCATCTCGACGGGGCTCACCTAGAGGTTCAGGCTGTGGTGGTTGATCACGGCAAGGGGCACGCCAACCTCGAGAAAGATCAGGCTCCGTGGCAGGGCGTGCAAGAACAGACTGTCCCCATCCACCCTTTCCACCTGACGTCCCCTTGCCCTCTCCTTTCTGCCGTGAAGAGGTGCCCTTTCCCTCTTGAGCAGACCACCATGGAACGAAGGTGGGGAACATGTCATGCATCGATCTTGGACCACCACTTTGTTCTGAACTAGCCTGACCCAAAGAACTACGAACTATGAACCCATGGATCCAACTTCACCCATGGATCTTCTCGCTCCCTAGGGCTGAGCGGCTGCGGGGGCGGCTGCCCTGGGGGAAGCCCCTGCTGCCGCTGCCATGATCCATCCCCGGCAGTCGAAATCGGCGCGACCATGAATGAAAGAGCAAGCAGCCTATGAGCAAATCCCCACCAAGGGTCACCCAGCCCCTCAGAGCTCCGCTACCAATGTGGCGGTGATATTGTAAAGCGATGTTCACCCAAAAAGCGAGTTCAAAAGGGGAACACAAAGCAAAAGCAAGCAAATGCGAAACGCGGGCGTTTCCTGCAATGCGCACATCGAAGAGCTGAAGGGAGCGGCGAGCGTCAACACATGTCACCAAGAGCTTCACAGCTGCAAACCACCTACCATGTACACTGAACCATCACAAAATCTAGGAACCACATGAATAGCGCGAGTCCTGCGTCCATGCTAGTAGCTTCCTTGCTGCTACTTGCTTCTTGCTACCAGCTAGACTGGACTAGCTACTTGTTAGCTCGCACCTCTTGACCTTTTAGCGGTCTACCCCCCTTATGTAAAAGAAAAAACTTACAATAGAAGATTGCTACTGACGGTCATTGCATCAGGTCGCCGTCAATTCCTGCCACCTGGTCCGGTGAGTCTGCCTCGCTGCCCCCAGCGCCCTCCGCCATAGCGCAAGATGCACAGCTTGGCGTCTTTAGAACCCTGCAAAAAGCCCCTAGTAGCTTCTTGCTCCTAGTAGCGATGCCCTTTGCTCCTAGTAGTGTCCTTGCTCCTAGTAGTGAGGCCAGGAGCCCCTAGTAGCTTCTTGTAACTGCAAAAGCATGTTCAGCAATCTCAAAATCTACACTGTCCTACAATCTCCGCGTTGGGCAATCTAGACACTTCGACCCACTTCTCACATGGCCACACAACAACGTCCAATTTGCCTGTCGGCTTGCCACGTGGCAAACTGCCATCGATGAGTTTGAATCAGCAGGCAATGCTTGCAAGTCCTATGATCATCAATGCTTCTTGAGCACATGCTGCAAGCGCTGCTTAACCTTGAGAAATTGCCAGGACTTGCACTTGGCGCGAAGAAGTACCTTGCTGCGCTGGTGACAAAAGCCCAAACAATCTTGTCGGATTTGCTCCGAGCAACCTGCAACACCTCAAACCGGCGCACATCACCCTAAACTGCCCACGGCATATGGGATCAGCAAAGGTTTCCCAAACAGGTATGACCTCCAAATCACTATAACATTGACCACCATGTGCATCTCATCACTACATTTCACTCATGGCGCACATCACTCCACGGCCGTATGGCTTTACAGCAGTCTACTACCCAAGCGTCACCTGCCAAAGGATCGTTCAGGCACGCTTCCTCTTCAAAAGCTTACGGGCGAGCGAGGGCTTGGATGCTTGTCAGGAGCTCTGAGCCCCAGGTCAAAAGAATGTTTGCGGCCTACAGGCTAGCGGCTTATATTATCCTGGAGCGTGTTTTGAAAACCCATCCCTGTTGGTCATGCAACGTCTTGATCACCTCAAAACAGCTGCAGTAGCAAATCAGGCACGCAACTATCAACGAGAGACTACCGGTTGTCCGCTAAGCAAAGTGGCAGAAGGATGACAAACAAGGGCATAGGACCAGGATCTTGGCCATGTGCGTTGGGGTCTTGTGGCCCTGCTGCAGCATCACGGACACCACCAAATCAGCAACCTCCTGGCATTCAGCAAGGTTCGAAAGCTACTCAGCTATTCTGCGTATTGCCTTGCTTATATAGAGCCTCAAAGCCCATCGGCTGCGAAGGCCGCTCCCCGAATTCCTCGAGGTTTGCAAACAGTTCAAACTTTGCATAACAGTACCCTGCTTGGTTGATCTTGAGTTGGCAAGTGCTTAAAAACATCACCGATGCAACTGCATAGCCTCCTCGATTTCAATCTTCTGGCGCTTCGGATGTGGCTCATCCTGCTTTGGATGAGCAGGGACATCTTTTCTCTTCCGTGATCTGCCCGTGCCTCCTGTTCGTCCTTCAGCTCCTGAACTCCAACCGCCTTGTCACATTTTTAAAAAATCAATGCAAGGCTTTCGATTTCTGTTACTCTGAAGTGCCCTCTTGTCCAGCGCCTCTTCTGCATGCATCAACCTGAAGCTTTCACCAAACGGGTGCTTTGCTGCGGGCCAGATCGGCTTGATACATTTCGCACCACTTGCAGTACCGCAATACTTTCTCAGCATTGGAGTCCTTGCAGCGCTAGGACTGCTGATGGAAGGCTTCCCGCAACACATGAAGATCAGATGCTTTCGGAATCCTTCAGCCGCACCAAATTGATCAAGCGTCCGAATTGTGGCTTGGAGACGACCTGCCAGGAAAAACCTACGACAATGGCCACTCAAGGTCTGATTCGCAGGTACTGAGAATCATGCTAGCGATGAAGCCGAAAGGTGCAATCCAGGATTGCAACATGCCCACGGTTGATAAATTCTTAAATCTAACCTGTAAATGACACACTAATTAATACTAATTATGTATATATATAACTATCTATCTATCTATCTATCTATCTATTTATCTATCTATCTATCTATCTATCTGTGTGTGTCGTGAAAAATGTGAGTTGGTGGAACACCAAACCAAAACCCAGTCAAAGCCATCAGACCCAAAAGGCCAGAAACAGCATGAAAGCTGAGAAGCAGGGGCAAGGTCTGGAGGTGGAGCCAGTTATATACTTGGTTCAGCAAGCAACTCCAAGGGTATGCGATCTCAGCCTTTATGCTGTGTCCTCACCGCACCTGCAACCCACTTGCTGGCAAAGGCTCAGGCGGGGCGTGTATGCGCATCGCCTAAAGGGTAGCAACGCACTCATAAACATGCCTGGATGTGTGTTCTACGGCTCTACTGCTTGATGCCTTACATTGAAACTATACAACAAAGCTAGTGTCCGCATGCTCCGCACTAGTTGGTCGGTTTTCATACCGGCTGTCTGATGCTCTTGTGCTGGGTGCCCCGTAGCCGTAGCCTGCGGAAGCCGAGCCATCATGTTCTGGTGCTCTGACAATCTTTGCCTCCCATGCAGCCAGCTGCGCACTTCTCCACCAAAAAAACGGTAGGCGCTTATGCTGGAAGGCATTTCGTCTTTCTCAAGGCGGTCTTCCGCAGCTGGAGTACATAAAAGGCATTTATGGGAATGGCCACAGGTTCAACCACGACATACATACAGCAAAAATCAATAAAGTTCAGAAACAAGGCACTCACGGAACAAGGAGACGCTCGAAGTTCACGCGCATCGCTAAAGGCAAGGAGCTCACAAGTGTATAGTGCACATTCCCAATTTCAGAGGTGAAGCTTAGCAGGCAATCGGCAAAGCAGGAGTGGGGAAGCAACGCTCGAATTTGGCATGGGCGTGTCGCGAGCACACAGCATGCGAATAGAAAAAGCAGCGAAACAAGCTAGGCAAGCTTTGGCTTACGGACTGCCAGCCGGACCACTTACTTGCATTATTGACATGCAAAGTCGGGTTGTTTGTTGCTCACGCCACCTCTAACGACCCCAATGGTTTTAGAGCTCTGGTCATTGCATGCACTTTGTTTTAGCCTTGCCAATTACAAAACACCAACAAGTTAACAACATGGTTCTCACAACATCTGTCAAACGCACATTACGCACATTGTTTTTGCAACATTGTCACTGCATTGCCATCGCCTTCACAACAATCATCGATGGTAGGGAATGGTCCCCGAGTGAGGGTCAACTTGCGCGGGCCCACGGGCCCAAGGGCCCAACACTTCACGCTGGTACATCATCATCATCATCACCATTGTCAAATTCAAAACCAAGCGGAAAGGAGGCATGAAAGAAAAGGAAAACGAACGCACCGGCAACCTGCCGTGCAGCAAACAGATTTTAATACATCATTGGCATTGAGTGTCTTGAACAAACTGGAGACAACATTTAGAAAACTGGCTCAGCGACTAACTTCATAACATACACACTACAAAATCGTTGCACAGCTCCTAATGCTGGACAAGCTGCAACCGTTCCAAAGCGCGTTGCGCAAACCGCAGCACCTGAAAACCAATAACCGGAGCTGCTCGCCAACGCCGCACCCTGATACGACAGACCAACCTGAACATTGGCATCTTCCGCGACGAAGATGCTCCAATCTGCCTCCGGAATTTGCGTGTGCCTCATATGATTCACGCGCCTGTCTCGAAACCAACCCTCAAACTCAGCTGCGCCACCTGGTACCCATTGCCTGCAAGGTGACAAGCAAAAGCTTCCGCCTCGACTGCAGAATGCACAAATCAGGTTGCCAGCACTTTCAACAGGCAAGAATCTAGGGGTTCTGGCCAACACATCAATGCCTTGACTTCACAAAGCTCAAATTTGCCCAAACCCATCTATATAAGAGGAAAAACTGTTCAACAAGCGTGTGGCCCAGAGACCAGATTTAGGAATTGAACAAAATTGCATAAGTTTTCACAAATGGGCAAGGTTGTTATTGCGCGCAAAGGATGGGACCCAAAGCAAATTTAACAACGAATCTTCTTCCCAAAGACATTGACGTCCTACTGTATAACACTGATATCAACCAGGTATTCATCACGCTGGGCCCCGACCGAAATAACAGGCCAAGCAGGTAGAGACGAGCGCCCTCTTCTCCATCCCAACACTATACTCTTAGCTTCTTTCGTGGATAAACAGTATAACGGATCTGTCAGTTGCTCTAGATGGATGGTGAATGGTCACAGTGAAAGTTCACAAGCATAGTTGACCCTCCTTCCCCAACGCTCGCACACACAGACGCGCAAACTCCTTTAAAACTACCTTGGCACTTGGCACGGCAAAATCAGAAGAGACGCGCAATTCCTAGGCAAGTTGGTAGACTGAAAATTTTTGAACAACTACAATTTGCGGGCCTATTCTTTGAGCTAAACCCTTGAGCAGCACGGGGGGGCCATTCAGACCTGGATGCCATTTGATTGTCAACCCACCCACCCCTTAGCCGCAGCCTGTTTCTAGCTGCCTTCCTTTGCACTCCCTGGATTCATGGGCGGTTTCGGGTTTGCCAGGTTTGTTTGTATCCACCACGTTCATTGCAAAAGGCTGAAGCCAACAAAAACGCGTGCCGCATGTGTTGCAATGATATAACTAACTCCGGGACGCATACCGGCCATGTGGCTATGAGTGTTGTTACTATCGACCACTAGGCAATAGGCTGTTTGGGCCTTTAAAGTCGGCAGGCATGCATAAGCACGTTTACTCAGGTTCCTTGTTTCGCCTATCTTTTAGTAACTTAATACAAACGCACACGGTGGACCGCTGTAGTGCAACATGTCCACGGCAGAGGATCGAATCTCCACGCAAACGTTAAACACGGCATGTTCTTTTACAAACCATGCAAGAAAGGAGGTGCAGCCATTGGGGACACAACCGCGAATATGGCTGTAGCGGCCCAAGCCCCTTTGGAGATCCAAGTGGGTTTCGTTCCAACCTTTGCCTCAGGCCCTTCGCTGCACGCGTTGGACTCTACCAGGCCCCCCTGGCGCCACGACTCCCGGCTTAGTTTTTGACTCTTCTCTTTCCTTCCTTCCTTCCTTCCTTTCTTCCTCGCTTTGTTTCTTTTTCGTCCTTCCTTGCTTCCTTCCTTCCTTGCTTTGTTACTTTACCATCCTTCCTTGCTTCCTTCCGTCCTTCCTTTCTTCCTTAAGTCCTTCGTTCCTTTGTTCCTTCCTTCCTTCCTTTCTTCCATCCTAAATTTCTTCCTGATTCCTTACTTCCTGATTTTTCTCCATCCTTCCTTCCTTCCCTTCTTCCTTTCTTCTTTTCTTCCTTTCTTCCTTCCTTGCTTCCTTCCATTCTTCCTTTCCTTTCTTACTTTCTTTCTTCCTTGCTTTGTTTCTTTCCGTCCTTCGTTCCCTTTTGCCTTGCTGCGGTTCTTTTCGTCTTTCCTCCCTTCCTTTCTTCTTTCCTCCCTTTCTTCCTTCCTTTCTTTCTTCCTTGCTTTGTTTCTTTCCGTCCGTCCGTCCGTCCGTCCGTCCTTCCTTCCTTCCGTCCTTCGGTCCTTCCATCCTTCCGCCCTTCTTCCTTTTCTTCACTTCCTTCCTTCTTTTCCTTCGCTTCGCTTCGCTTCACTTCCTTCCTTGCCTTGCCTTGCCTTCCCTTCCCTGCCCTGCCCTTCCCTTGCCTTGCCCTGGCTTTCCGTTCCCATTTCCTTGTCTTTCCTTCCTGAAGTAGACGACGAAAGAAAGGAAGCTGGAGAAACAACAGCAGCAGCAGCAAGAGCAAGAGCAGCAAGAGCTTGAGTGCACTTGCTGCAGAAGCGCGCAAAAAGCTTGGAATAGAATTGATCCAAGGGGGCAGGTGCCCAACCGTTGCCCGCCCCAATGAAGAACCCCTGCGTAGGGCCTCCGACTTCAGCCAGGAGAACTCCGATATCTGAACGCAACAGCAAGAGCAAGAACAATAGCAGCAAGACCAGCAACAAGCACAACCGTAACAGCAGCGACAGAATGAACAACAACAACAACAACAACAACAACAGCAGCAGCAGCAGCAACAGCAACAGCAACAGCAACAGCAACAACAAGAGCAAAATCAACAACACGAAGAGCAAGAGCAGCAAGACCTAGGACAAGAGCTACAACAGCAAGAGCAAGAGCAAGAGCGACAAAAGACACCAGCAGGAGCAACAGCAAACCTCATGAAGATTTGCAGAACTTCGTCCAGAGACGGCGGCCCCGCGTAATGAAGAACCTTGCTTAGAGCCCCAAACTCATTAATGGGAGGAGAACTTACCTTTGTGAACTGCAGTCTTCCTCGCGTCTTGTCTAGCCCACTGGAGCCCAGAGCACAGGACAGACAGGCGTGAAAAAATGGCTCAGCTGTTGGCAGTCTTCATCCATATCGGACAGCTTGCAAAACAACGATTGAAACGCCTGCCAGTCGGCCGCCACGCACATGCTTCATCTAAACGGTCAACGCGCCCCTACCTCCTGTATAAGCTTTCTCATCGTGCTTTGTTTCTCGGCGCAAGCCTGCGATGTTCCGCGACGCAGACTGCAAAAGGCTGAGAACAATCCTGACCCAGCCTCAAGAACACGGCAATAGAATAAAGGCAACCGTCTCAGGCAAGGCGTTGCAAAAGGATATATAGCAACAATCCTTTCAAGTCAAACCCGGGTCGCGCACACTGGGGTGGGCAGCCGAAGTAGCTGAGAAAAGAGAATCTCAACGGTAATAGCTTCAAAATCATAGTGCAAGACCTGGGCGGCGGGCGCTGCAGGTCGACGCAAAGCAAGGTTGGTCATATCTACCACGTCTTGAGCGTGAAAAAGCTATAACGATTCACCGACCTTATTTGAGATTTTGCAAGGTATATTTATATGGTGGAACGAAATGAGGGGGCCTGCGCAAAAAATTCATTCCGCTCTTGCTTGCGTCCTTTGGCCCCAGCACAATTAGCGTCGAGAGTGACAAGTCAATCCAAGTCATCGAGATCTTTCACAGGGACACGGTCCTCATCAACCTCAACTTACCTAGCCACAATCTTGCCTTGCCCGGCTTTGCCGATGCAGCAGCCACGTTGCCCCGAACCTTGGGCCGCCAATCCCGATACCGTTCCGGCATCGGAAACTTGGGGGCCAGATCTTCTCAGCAGCTTTTTCGGCCTTCTATTTCAATCTTCCCTGTTCATTTCTGAAAGATGCCTCCCAACCTTCCGCGCAAAAGACGAATCCTCAGAAGATGAGCTTGAAGACGAAGATGACGGCGATGACAGAGAAGGAGATCCCTTCTCTTCTTCTTGTGAGGAGATCCTCCTTCCTTCGTCCTTGTCATCCTTTTGTCCTGGAGGACCAGGTGGATCCAATGTGGTCGGCTTGGGAAACGGCGGCGCATGTGGCTGTTCGCTCAGCCCTCCCTGCGTCTTGCTTCTGCAATAGCCATGACTTCAGGCAACCATGGACGGCGCGCTGATCAAAGTTGTTGATGACTTGACTGTCTACTGGCCACGCGTGCGTCATTTCGTGAAGGCTGGGCTCATAGCAGACAAGGCGAAAGATGCACCCCGTTGTCCTGAAAGTACAAACACGAAGTAACGCCAGGTTCCCCCATGTGTCCGCCAGTGTGGAATGAGATCTCCTGGACTTCCGTCGGCTCATGAGACGCTTCACCCTCATGTTTATCGCACCTCGAACCATTTCGAGTTGGCGCAAAAGGCAGCTCCACCACGCCATGTCAAAGTTGCGCGAGACGTCTATTTTTTTCGTGCCCTGGGCGCGGACGGCTGCCGGTCCCTCCCATTGGCGACGCCAGTTGCATCGTGTCTGCAGCCACTTCCACATTTTTGTGTTTGATCGCCTGGTCATTGCCCGCTCCATTGAAGAAATGGTCGTTGAAAATGGTCATAGCCAGGGACAAAACTTGTTCAATCCATTGAGCTCTGCACATCCGCCCTGGTTGAAGGAAGCGGTCGTATGAGACGAGCCTGCTAGGGTGCCTGGGAGGGCGCTGGAGAATGTACCCCAGGCAGCTTAAGTTGATGTATCTTCAAGTCATCGCTAAGTAGCGTTTCGTTTGGTCACTTTCGGACATCTACATTGGTAGTCCTGTCAATCCCTATCTGCATGGCTCCCCATGTAGTAGGAATGTTGGCTATGGAGCGCAACATTGATGATGGAAGGCATCAATATATTTGCGCTGGGCGTCTGTCAACCAGTGTGTGCCTAAGTTGTAAAAAGGTTTGGAAACTACACAGGCTCGATATATGCGATCCTTTGTGGCGCAGGAGAGCCTGCCGTGCTTCCATACCCGAATAAGTTGTTTGGAACTCTCCGTGCTTCCGCGTCGGCGCACTTCAGGCCTTGGTTTACCGGTTTGCTCAATCAGCCCCCGTAAATAAACAACGGATAAAACTTGCGGCGCACGAGCCTAATTTTCAAAACAGCCTTGCTTGTTGCGCGAATCAGATTTCGACAATCGTTCTGCACTGTTACAACACATCCTACAGCGGTACAGAAATGCGATGCTCATGTTGGAATCTTTGTGTCCTCACGTGGTTGTCGGCAGCGAGGTTCGTCAATATGCGCGAAACTATGCCACCTTGCTGCGCGAAGCTAGAATGGGTGCGGAGGACGCTCGACTCCGTTGTCGCCTGGGGCGTTAGTTGCTTCTGCGCCAGATCCTTTTGGAAAGAAGAGCTCCGGGAAGTTTTCCTCGCAGGAGATCAAACTTTTACGTTGAATCCCGATGCTGTCTGGAAGTTGTTATCTGTGGAGCGGCGTGGAGCGGTATAAGCACCGATGGCCGCTGATACCGGAAGAAGAATTACTTGCCAGCAGCGTTTCGGTGCAGGACAGTTCCCGACAAAGGGTACCAGCGCCACTGCACAAGCGTCGGGTGGATGGCAACGTGGTCTGCGGCAAGTCTCCGGCATCTGCGCGTCGAGATTGCTATCATGCTTGTGCTCCAGAGCAACCCAAGCTCTGCAAGTTCTCTTCGGCCAATGATCTTTGGCTGCAGGGGGCGACCTGATCCACTGCTGTGGCAGGCGAACATGACCCACGAAATGTGCCTTGCATGCTCTAGCCAGAACTGTGGGCAATGCTTCGTCGCGACCAAATAGGTTGCCAGCATCCCCATATCTCCACAGCTTCGGCTTGGCCATCGTCCAAGTTTTCCCGTCAAACAAACTGAGCGGCTTCTTCCCACGCGCTACCAGCAAATGCTTCGCTGCGCGTCCAGATTCTGCATCTTCCGGAACCAGCTCTTCCGCAGAACCTTCGGAGGGTAGAAGCCAACGCGAAGTGCCCATGACAGCATCTCTCAACTCCATCTCCAACTTCCGCCGATCATCGGCTGCAGACAATCTCCGACAGGTTTCCTGCGCGTCATCACACAGTTGCAAGATACGTTGACGACCAAGATCATCCACCAGCGTTGTATCTTCGCCCATCAAGGTAGCAAGCTCGACTATACCAAGCGAGCACCGGCAGCTTCAAGTTCATCTAATTTTGATAACAACAATACTATTTTGGCGCTGACGTCAGTTTCGTCCTCATTGAAACCCTTCACTTGCGATTCGAACGCAAAACCTGTTTCATCTCCTTGCGCCCGGACGTGGTCAGCTGTGGCCTGTGCCGGCCCTTCTTGTCTCATGATGCCAGGACCATCTTCACCAATAGGAACCGTGACCACAAAATCGAGAACCGCCGGTGGAACTGCCTCTTCTGCATCTTGCAACCATTCCGTGAGCAGCTCTCGATTGATTTCAGCAACGCCGGCGGCATACACAGGATTCGTCTTCTGAAGAGCTTCAGCCTGCTCAAGAAACAACGCCTTCTTCAACCGCAGCTCCACTATCTTGCTAACGGCTGCTCGACCAGCTTCTTGCCCTTCATGTGGCAGATCTGCGCAGAAGGTGATGGCCATGGCGTCGTTGAGCTGTCGAGGAGGCAGGGATTCAATGGCATTCCTGGCATCTCCATTGTGAAACAAAACCGAAACCACTCTGTTGGAATGTATGTTGGAATTGACGGGTTTTCTCGGTGTTGAGGTGAAGATTATATTTTGCGGCTTCGTCTTGCACAAACCAAAGAAGATCTTGAATTTGAATGTGTTCCCAGTTTTCGCAAGTAAAACTGTATCGTCAGCGAACTGTACGTCAAAAACGGGGAGGTTGGGAGTGGCGAGTGGGTGACGAGCTAGGTATTTGACCTGGACATCGTGGAACAAAACTGTCTGCCACAAAATGAACCAGAGCCCTTCCCCCATCCCCTCGCTGACGGACAAGCTCGAGCGTTTGTTCCCCTATATACATGGCTTGCGAGGCCGGCGATGGTTTCTAGGGATGTGGTCAGTGATTGCTGTGACATAGATTTCGTGTAATGTTTCCCACCATTTCGCGCAATCGTCACCACCACCTACGGAATCAACCTGCGCGGCAATGTCACGGTTCATGGCCGCTAGGTTGTCAGCAGTTGCAGAATTATTTTCCACGTCGGCATTGCGCGCGTGGTGTGCGTGGCTCCGAGTTTGACGCATAAGGAAAGAACAACGGGGAAGTGGTCAGAGTCTAGGTGACCCTGCGTTGGCTGAAGATGTTAAGGCACGCGCCGCGCCATCTAGCGGGCACGAGGCACAGGTCAAGCTGCGCAAACTGGACTGGGTCCCACATGGCAGGGGTGGGAGGAAGCTGATCGACACCGGGCGCGTGGTAAGTGACCTGTCGCCCCTGTGGACGCTTAAATCAGACCTACAACAAGACTGTTGGCCGCAAAAGTCCATCAGCAACGCGTGGTTATCTTGGTCATCTCCAACAAAGTTAACACCGCGTCCATGCACGAAAAGCCCCAACACAGCGTCTTCGCCCAGCAATTTCCTTGCAGCCGGGCATAGAAATCCCGCACAAGCACGTACGGACCTTTGTTGCGTAGCTTGTCCACAAGTTGTTGATGTTGTTGGAGGTCGTCGTAGAAATTACGTCTTTCGTCAAGTGGTTTACCATTTTGCGGAGCGTAGCAGTTAGTGAGGGTGAGCGGGCCTGCTGCGGTAAGCAGCGTCAGGCTAGCAAGTTGGCTGCTGATGATTTCGGTTTCAACCTGTAGTTATGCGTTTCTGGCTTCGGGGGAAAGGACAAACCCCCACAAATTTTCGCTGCTTGGGCGCAATGGTACTGATGGTCATGAATGTGAATTGGCCTACCACATATTGAGTGGCTTGCGGCCTGTTTGGATCGTGTCTCTTGGAGGCACAAGACAGCTACCCGGCAGGTGTGCATGAAATGGGTCACCTGGTGGCGCATGGTGGGTTTGAGGATGCAACGGACGTTGTATGCAACCCCGTGCAGCTTTTGGGCATAGGGTATCTACATCTAAGGCTCGCGTCATGGGCATACAAAAGAGGTTAGTAGGGACCGGGCGCCGCCTCTCGTTGAGCCTTGAGAAAAGGCTAGAAAAGGCTGGCCCTCCCCGTCCTTGGTGTCCGTCATCCCTGAAGACAACTGGAACCTGGCTTGGTCTTTGGGCGGTTCCTTTGCAGCAAGAAGTACTTCTTCTGGATCTGAGTGTAATATCAGGGCGCCCGTCTCCAATATACAGAATCATTTTCTACGACGCGGCGCTGCCAACTCCTTTGGCTCCAGGGCGACGTCGCACCGCGATGCCTAAGGATTTTGGCTATATGGTGGCTTTGACGTTAACGACCACTAGTTCCACGGACTGGTTTCTTCACGCGGCTTCGGAAGAAGTTCCTCTTGCGTGCCTCACAGAGTTTCTGACGGCTTTTGTTCCGGCTGGCTCTCTTACTATCTTCTGGCCTCTTTTCTCTCGACCCTAGCCGCCATTCAAGGATAGGTTCCCAAAATGCAAGCAAGCCGCCAACCAATATTCATCGAGTTGAACCGGCTCTGAATCTGCCCATGGCTCATCCCTGCAAGATTTTCTTCATGCAGCACCCTCCTTTGCGCAATCAAGCCACGGATGTTTGCTCATCAAAGCGCAAACGCCAACGATTTCTATTCGTCCCTTCGTGATCTCTCACCCAGCGCAACGCCAGAGAGAGGGACCCGGCGCATATAGTCGCGCGACGTGTTGTTTCTTCCACGCTGTACTTGAGGATTTGGAAAAGACTGTATTTCAGGAGTGTCATCTCTTCGGTGTTGAGGTCGATGTCAGGATTCGTGGCTGAATTCCTTCTGTCACCTTCTTGGAGGCAATGGCTTCTTGTTGGAATGGCTCAAGACCGACCTTTTGGTAGGGAGCGAAGTTCGGCCAGTAGAGCAACTCACTCCGGCAGTAGGGGTTGCTGACCAGGTTGTAGGCCTGAAAACACTGGTTGGAAGGATACGCAAATTAAGTGAAACACGCAGAAGCAGAAGGTGACAAGCGCGAACCCCTCAATCGAAGATATGGCTTCGGCAAGCAGCTCGGGGGCTGAGAAGAGGCTCTGAGCTTCTAGGTGCACCCACACCGAAAGGCGCCAAAAGTGTTTGGCTCTGCGTTCCCCAATTCTTTAAACGCAGAGTGTTTGGGCTTACGGATGGCCACATCACAAACAACCCGACCCTCTGGCCAATCTCATCGGTTCAGCGAATCAACGCACAGCCGGCTCGATACATCCGATTCACCTACGAGGCAGCTCTGATAAGGAAACTTCGGGTAGTTCACCCTTCATTTTCACGATTCCTTGCCGCGTCCTCTCCGATCTTTGGCTTGGAATTTCGAGCGCAAACCGCCGGATGGACGGTGTGGCACGCTAACTTGTAAGGAATGTTGAGCAACTTTAATATTAAATATTTGCTCTCAAGGCTGGGGGAACGACTGGAATCCTTAAGATCTGTTTGCTGCATTCTTCAATATCTTGCGCGAACCTCAGACAGGACTGTCGCTACCAAATCCACAAAAGTGTTAGAAGCAGGTCTGCTGCATCTCCACCACAAGGAGCAAGTAGTCTTCCAGCACCTGTAGCAACAATATGACAGGATCATGCCATCTGGTCGCACAAGAATGCTGAGACTTAGACCCATCTGTCAGCCAGCCTGCCGAGCTTGCTGCCAAGTGAGGACTGGGCCCTTTATCTTTATCAAGGTATACGGACCGCAAGTTAGTCAAGTTAGTTCAACATGCCAGAGCAGCGCCATTCCACTACTAGACTCCGAAGTGAGCAAGGACACGGACATGAGGGGAACCTGCATCGCGTTACACCGTGCAGCCGAGGCTTGAATTCTGATAAGATCAACAGGCCCAACTCAAGCATACTCGATCCAAGCCTGAAACCTTGCGCAACTCTCTTGAAAGTCTTCCGCGGCTATGCCAAGCGGAATCTCCGGCCTGAAGATCAAGCTGCCAATCAGAAAAGTGTCACGCCCCAAGGCTGAATCATGCCAGCAGCACATTCCGTTAATTCCTAGAGCTGATGGCTGAAAACCAGGTACGTGAAGAACCACCTGCAATCGGGACCAGCACTGGTCGACAGGTGCTTCAGGTTCAGAAGTCAGACTCCAAATTTCCTAGTACCAGGGTCGGAAAAGTATAAGCGGTATAAACAATCGCTTCTTGGGACACGTGGTTTGGAAGAGTGGGCGGCCCAAGGGTGGAGACCCCCATCCCAACAAGACGATCGTAACGCATAGGGGGGCGAGTCTTCCTTGGGAAACTTGAGTCTTGAATCAAGCTTGGAATTAACATAGACTTATTGAGGTTGAAAGCGAATCTTGAATCCGAAACTGTAAAGTTTAACTTTAAATGTTGGTCAAACAACTCCTGGGTACAAGTGGGCAGCTCACTGAGCACTACGATGTCATGAACAATACTATTGAAAATGTGTATATTTTCGCGCGCTAAAAAAGTAGTATGAAAGACAACGATTAAAAAGCATACAGTGCGCATTTGTGCTCACATCCCGCGCATACACATATTTGCACGCTGGTACTTTCATAGAACCCCACTACAAAAATCACGTCCAGAAACACACTTGACAAAGCAATCAATTCTGCGCAAGTTTTTCTGGGTCGCAAACGTTATCCGTCACTTCCACCGCCCTCTCTCAAGCCTGTGCGCCTTCCAACCTCTGTCCGCCTGCCTGAAACCATCACTTCAACAGTCTTCTCGGCTCGCCCGTCGCCACGCTCTTAACCAGTTTAGTTCTGCGCGGACACTGCTTTCCAAAGCCCGCCCGTCATTTTCTGACGCCAATATAAAGCGTCAACTTCCACTGCCCCCCAGGCCTCTTCGCCATCCAAGTTATCCCTCCCCATGTTAGATTCAACGCGCAGCGCAATACCTAACGCCTGCAAAAAGTCGACTTCCAACATCTCTCTCCCGCAGCATTGAACCCTTCCTGGGAATTTTCACTTTCACATCGACGGCCACTTCAGCCCGCGCCCCGCTACGCCCCACCCCTGCACCCTTAATCCTGAGTGGTCAGGCCATATCGCATCAAATCATAAGCAAACAGAAACTATATATATATAAGCATCTTGACATCAAATATTCCAGTTGCAGGCAAACAGTATTTAGACCCCCCCTTATACACCTATGTAGCTTTACGCACTTTTCCTCGATACGCAAAAGGGCTGCAGTAGGTATTCATGACGCTAATGATGTCACACTTCTGCACACTGGTTCCTATGGAAAATGGTTCGCTCTCCTTCTTTGGATTGCGAGCCGCTAAAATGTTTTTTGTCTTTCTCTCTTTCTGCAGGTTTGTTCATTTCTTCCAGGAACTGGGTTCCTAAAGCGTACTTCTGTTGGGTCGACATCTGGGTTGTCCCTTCTGTATTCTGCTATTTCAAGTAGCTGTTCATACTTTTCTCGTTCTCGCTCACATCTACCTGCAGAACCTTGATCCCCCAGTCCTAGTCCTAGTAGGTTCCATTCTTGTACTTTCATGTCCTCAGTTTTTGCATTGCGTCTACCACACATCTGTACTGCCTGCATCCTTATATATAGATCTGACTGATACCTCTCTGTTTCCTTTTGTGAATGTAATGTTCAAGACTCCTTCTGATGGATTTGCCCCTTCATTGGCTGCCTCCAACATCACCCTGTGTCCTTCATACCATCCTTCTGTAGTTTGCGTAGCTTCAAAGCTCCTTCTGGCTCAGAAGTTTCCTGCGTTGATCTCACTCAGGATGCTGTAGCTCGGGATAGCTTGTGTAGTTGGCGTTTCTCTTTCTACAAAACCTCCACTCAAAATCAACCCACACTGAATTCTTGGTGTAGTTTTGAAGTGTGTCTAACTTGTCTTCAAGTTCTTCTTCTCTCCAAATGCCAACTCTCACTTCAACATCACCAATTCAATTGTCAATTCTCTTGGCTATCGTCTCAAGGAAGCCTGACTTAAAGCGAGTTGAATGAACTACTACATCTTCATGTAGCATCTCAAGGTGTTTGTAGATCTTGAAGGGCGCAACGACCACTGCAAAACCAAAAATGTTGAACACAAAGGTCATGACAATCCAATTGGATTTATTCACTGCGTCCAACCCACATTGGATGTTGTCTCCTTTCACGAATGCTTCTGTAATCATTGGCTGCAAGCCCTCCAATGCTACCATTCTCACAAGCACCTTGGCAATCTTGTTGACCTTCCTGCAAAAATCTTCTTCTCTTCACACACCCTTCTCTCATGCTCTACTCATTCTGTGTCTGAGAGTCATTCTTTGAGAGGGTTGTTTAAGTTTAAGGCAGGACCAGCCAAAAACTAGCTGGAATGTGTAGGAATCCATTGAAAACAACATAAAACTAACCAGCGTCATTCAGCAACTCCTTTTTTCAACTCTCACCCCCTGGAGTTTGAAAAGTCCCAAAGCCATCTTGAACACATGGCTCTGGCTTCAGCTGAGCTTAAGCTGTGCCTTGTCCCTGCTGAAACCATGCTTCTTAAATACATTAAATCATTCAGTGGCATTTGGTTGAGATGGTTGATCTCTTCCCTTGCCAACACCTTGCCAAAAGTACTGTAGTCAAACTGAGCATAAAAGGTGTTCTGCTCAGCTAGTCTGCCATAAGGAACTGTGTGCTTCTGCTTTGGGGGAAGCTTGGCTTGCCAAGCAGTGACATCCTGGCCATTCTTGTCTTTGACCTTGGAGAATCCAATGGAACAGCCATCTGGTGGGGCCCACTGCTTTGCTTTAAATGGTGCCTCAATGTTTGGACCTCTATGTCTTGTCCTGGGAGCTGGTGCCACAGCAGGAGCAGGTCAGATTGGCTTGCTTCTGGCAATGAAGGTGCAGATTCAAGTAAGTCTGCTGTTTGGTGTGGGTGGGCTGCTGCAGGGGCTTCAGGCTGAACAACGTCGTCATCATCATAGCCCAAAGTATCTGATTCTTCCACCATTGGTGCAGCTGCTGTATCCTCTGATGATGGTGGTGGTGCCACTTCCTCTGATGGTGGTGGTGCCACTGGAGGATCTGGTGATGCTGGGTTGAATGCTTCTGGGGCAGCTGCTGCTGCTCCTGGTGCAACTGCTGGAGCCTGTCCTGCTGGTAATGCACCTGCCTCTGCTGGAGATGTTTGGCTAAAGGCTTCAGAAGCTGCCTTTGGTGCAATTGCTGGGGCCTCTGGCTGTGCTGGTGGTGCTGCTTTGCTGGATGATGATGATGCTTTCTCAGCAAACCTCCTAGCAAAAGAAGCTGGCCTTGGCTTGTTTGGCTTTCCCTTTGGCCTGCCCTTGGGCTTTGGCAAGGGCATGTTGTGCTTCATGGCAGCAGCCCTTTGCCTTTTCAATTTGTTTTTTCTGGCCTTTTCAAAGTCTTGTAAGTCACTTGTGTTGTAGTTGTCATCCTTGTGACACTCCAAGATCTCCTCCATCTCACTGTCAAGCTCTTGTTCAAGCTTGTTGGCCTGACCCTCTTGCTGTTCCTGATAAGCGTGGGTGGCCTGTTGAGTCTTGTCCTGGTCACTCCCCAAGACTACAGTGAACAAAAAAGTGACCAGTTGCTTTGCAGAAAGGTTGGCTGGAACTTGGGCACCCAAGCTCCAAAGCAATTTCCTGATGTGCCCAGCTGTGAGGTAGACACCATTGAGGCACAAGGCCTCAAGCAAGGAGCATGCTTGGCCTGATTGTTTGAATGCCAAAGGCCCACTGTTGGAAAGCAGTACCAACTCACATGGGGCATTGATCCACTCATGCAAGTCCCAAATGGTGTGCCACTGGATGGCAGTGCAGGCCAGCTGGCACAAGAAGCACCTGGGCTGGGCTGGGCTGGCAAACTCAAAAACCACCTGGTGACAAATATTTTTTTTAATAGAAACTCACATAAACATTCACACTTAGGGAGTAATGAATAACAATAGTTAAAACACCAAATTGGTTGGTAAAGAACCTGCACCCTTCAGGATCAATGCGAACATCCAGTGTCCAGCCCAAAAAGCAAAACTCTGAATTGGCAACCACCCACATCAATTGGCCACTGGTTGAATGAGCCATCACACTTCCAGGCTGGCCACAAAGCAAGGACAGCCAGGCACTGTCAAACTCTTCATTACTCATCCCTTCAAACTGGGTGAAAAGGAAGTGGGTAGAGGCTACCCCCTGATACATGCTGGCAGGGGTTGGGCTGGGCCAACTATGTGAGCCCCTGTTGGGCAGCATCATCACATGGAAATCTTTTTCCAGGTACTATCTTGTGTTTGAAAGCACCAAGCTTGTCCCTGGTCCAAATGCCAGAGGATAATTTCTCATGTGTTGGGACAGGTATGGCCTGGACCTTTCTTTGCTTGAGTGCTGGTGAATGGATCACTGCATCCATTCTACTGGTAACTGCCCTTTGGAAATGCCTGCTAGAGCGCAGAATGTCCTTGGCAGTCTGATGAGTGCACTCAATGACTCTAGAGTCTCGCAAGTGCTGTGTGAATAAGAGCATCAAATCATGGCCTTCTGAACCAGGAGCAGAGCCACCCCTCTCCAATGCCATGAATACCTGCGGTTGGAAAACCATGAGCATTCAATGAAGGTGTTTAAACTATAGCAGCCAGGATGAACACAAAACAAAATCAACCATAGAAAAATTAAATAACACCTTCTTAATGGCCACACTGAGCCACCACTCTGTTGAATGCACTCAGCCAGTGGCCTGCCATTGGCCCAGTGCTGCACAGGGTACACCACCTGCTGCTGCCAACTCTACCTTGAGCAAGGTGCGCCAATCTGCCATACACTGATCATTGGCCTTCTTTCTCTCAAGAGCATTTTAACGACCATTGCAGCATACTTGGCTGGTGGTGAGCAGTACTCAGTGACCAAGGACTTTGCCCTGTTTGAGATGAGATGGGTAAAGTAGTCCAGGAGCCAAAGCTTCACATTGGCCTCTTCAACCACATGAGTCTCCCTGAAAAGGAACTGTATATTCTCATGGTCAAAGAAGACATCCTTGGCACAGTCCACCTTGGCTGCTGTGAAAAACATAATGCATTGAACTATAACTCATGCTGGCTTACCTGT